AGCAGAAGGAAAAAGTGAGGGGGGGGGGGGTGGAGGGAGGAAGAGAACAGCTGTTGACTCCTTGTGTTGTATTGAACCTGGTCGTCTTCACTCAGAGTTCAGACTTAAACCTTCTTCCTGTCCAGCTGCTGAAACAATCTGCTGTTTGTAACAATAAAACTAAATGTACACGGAGCAGGACGTTATCTTTCTTCCTCGGCGCCGCCGACAGTCAGAGTGGCGGCCATTTTGTTTTCAGTTTGTCCGTCTGGTTCTCGTCAGAAACGTCTTAAACTTCTTTCAATTTGGTAAAAACATTCACCTGGACTCAAGGAGGAACTGATTAGATTTTGGTGGCCAAAGGTCAAAGGTTAAACGTCAGTGTGACCTCACAAAACACTTTTTAGCCATTAGTCAAGACGTGACAGCGAGAGGGAACGATCAGGTGACTCACTCACCATCTTCTCGAAGTTGACCAGGTCACCGTGAAACGTCTTACAGCTCTCGTGAAGAAAGGTCAGATCTGAGGAGGAAACATCAGAGTGTTCATACACACGGAATCAACACACACTCACACACACACACACACACACACACACTCACACACACAGTCTCAGTCTGTGTGTGTGTGTGTGTGTGAGACTGTGTCTGTGTGTGTGTGTGTGTGTGTGTGTGTGAGAGATTGTGTCTGTGTGTGTGTGTGTGTGTGTGTGTGTGTGTGAGAGTGTGTGTGTGAGTGTGTGTGTGTGTGTGTGTCTGTGTGAGACTGTGTGTGTGTGTGTGTGTGTGTGAGAGTGTGTGAGAGTGTGTGTGTGTGTGAGAGTGTGTGTGTGAGAGTGTGTGAGAGTGTGTGTGTGTGTGAGAGTGTGTGTGTGAGAGTGTGGGAGAGTTGTGTGTGTGTGAAGAGTGTGTGTGTGAAGAGTGTGTGAGAGTGTGTGAAGAGTGTGGAGATGTGTGTGTGAGAGTGGTGTGTGTGAGAGTGTGTGAGAGTGTTGTGGTGTGTGTGTTGTGTGTGTGTTGTGTGTGTGTGAGTTTGTGTGAGAGTGTGGTGTGGTTGTGAGAGTGTGTGTGTGAGAGAGCTGTGTGGGTGGTTGAGTGTGTGTGTGATGTGAGAGAGACTGTTGTGTGGTGTTTAGAGAATGTTGTGGCGTCTGTGGTGGGAGAGTGTGTCGTGTGTTCTTTGTGAAGAGCCTGTTGTGTGCTCGTTGAGAGAGTGTTGTGAGAGTGTGTGTGTGGTGTGAGTGTGTGTGTGTGGAGAGCTGTATGTCAGTGTGTGTGTGTGGTGTGATGTGTGTGGAGAGTGTGTGGTAGTGTGTAGAGTGTGTGTGAGAGGTGTGAGAGTGTGTGGTGTTGTGTGTGTGTGTGTGTGTGTTAGTGGTGTTGAGTGTGTGGTGTTGTGAGAATGTGGGGTGTGTGTGTGTAGATGTGTGTGTGTGTGTGTGTGTGTGTGTGTGTGTGTGTGGGTGGGAGAATGTGTGTGTGTGTGTTGAGTGTGTGTGTGTGTGTGTGGTTGTTTTTAGAGTGTTGTGAGTTGTGTCTTGTGTGTGTCTGTGTGTGTGTGTGTGTGTTGTGTGTGTGTGAGAGCTGTGTGTGTGTGAGTTGTGTGTGTGTCGTGTGTGTCTGTGTGTGTGTGAGTGTGTTGTGTGTGTGTGTGTTGTGTGTGTGTGTGTGTGTGTGTGGTGTGGAGAGAGTGTGTGTGTGTGTGTGTGTGTGTGTGTTGTGTTGTGTGTGTGTGTGTGTGTTGTGTGTGTGTGTGTTGTGTGTGGTGTGTGTGTGAGAGTGTGTGTGTGTGTGTGTGTGTTGTGTCGTGTGTGTGTGGTGTGTTGTGTTGTTGTGTGTGTGTGTGTGTGTTTACCTTTAAGCAGCAGAGGTGTGAAGGGGATCAGTGGAGGTCTCAGGCTGGTGATCAGGTCTCTGTAGGACTTATGGTTCCTGGACGGGTCCTGTAAGAAGCAGATCCCAAACCGATCGATCAGAAGGATCAATGATCCATCCATCCTCATTATAGCTGAATATTAATAGTAATCATGTTGATTGATCAGCTCAGTAATATTTCAGTCAGAGAGACGTCGTTGTTCAGGAGCAGCTGTAACTCTTTAATCATCACTCCTTTATAAAAGTTTATTATGAACCAAAAAAAAGTCACAAATGAACATGATGAAGTTTTCATCCGAATTGATCAATAATTAACTTCATTAATTAACTAATGACACAATGTGAAGACAGGAAACCTGTTACTCACTGCGATGCTCTCAAACTGCTGAAACTGCTTCCTGAACTTCCCCGGCAGTCCCTGAACACACACACACACACACACACACACACACACACACACACACACACACACACACACACACACACACACACACACACACACACACGTGAGATCATTACATCGAGCACATACAGTTGAAAAGCTCTCAGCGTCTTTGAATCTGATCTGGACACAGATTCTGTTACTGATGATGTCGTCTCTCACTTCAAAATCCAGCTGTTACAATCCAGCTGTTACAATCTGTCTGTAATGTTGCTTCAATTTTAAATGATTCATTAATAATTGTTAATGATCAGTTAACTACTTGATTATAAAGATAATTGTCATTGCAGCTCAAGTTTAAACGACATGAAGACAAATATAAATTTAGACTTTTTTCTTTTTGAACTGAAGAATCACGAAAACAAACGTGACCCTAATGACTTCACTGCTGCCTCACACACACACACACACACACAGACACACACAGATACACACACACACACACACACACAGACACACACAGATACACACACACACACACACACACACAGGTGAGTGTCCTACCTCCCAGGTGAGTCGTAGTCTGCTGACAGCGGGATTATCCAGACCCAGAACCACAGCGAGGAACGACAGCAGGTCCTGCTGCTGCTTACAGCTGAAACACACACACACACGCACACACGCACGCACACACACACACACACACACACACAGAAAACACTGTTCACACAGGGATCTGGGACGTTCCTGGCTTCTGTTGTTATAAAGACAAACATTTTAAAAACTGTCCCTGTTTCTCTGAGCGACGTCTTCAAATTATTTCATTTGTTCGACCAAGAGTCTAAAAGCCAAAGATGGTTCATCTGCTGATCCATTAATCAACTTATTGTTTTTGTCACTTAATCTGATGTTTAAAGACAAATACAGAAACCATCACGTCATTGGATGATCAATATCACTTCTGTGGTTAATTACTGTCATGTGACCGTCTGCAGATTCTGCTTTTTGTGCTGACGTCATTGAAAACAGGAGGCAGGATGTTTTAATGACATGAGAGAAGATCCGGACTCGGTTCTGGATCTGGACTCACAGAGCTGCGATCTTGATGAACTTGCGGAGCAGCTGGATCCTCTTCGGCAGCGACTGACACTGCAGGATCTCCGTGGCGACCCAGTGCTGCACCTCGCTGCAGCGCTGCAGTACCAGCTCCAGGTTCAGGGGGCGCCAGCGCGACTGCTCTCCGTGAAACACGTAACACACAAACTCCACCTGCAGGAGACACCAACGAAGAAGAGGACAAAACGCCATCAACTCTCTGAATCTGTTCGTGTTTGAGCAGCAGCTGCAGCAACACTTCCTTCTTTCCACTCTCTATTTAATATATATATTTATAATGTATATCCAGAAAACAAAATGGCTGCCACTCTGACTGTCGGCAGCATTTTGTGTTTGTCGTGTCATCACTTTAAAGAACAACAGTCTGACTGACCTCGTGGACGCAGCTGAAGAGCTCCCAGTCAAACACCACCAGCTGATTGGCCACTTCCTCTGCGGACATGTCGTGCAGTTTGCTGTCGCCTGGCGTCCAGTGGATCTCCTCAGGAAGAGGAAGCTGGGGGAACGCCATCATCAGATTATAACACACACACGGTTTGTCTCTGTTATAATATGTTAATAACACAACACGGAGAGAAACACCAGGCTGCTCCCTGTCAGGCCGTCATCACCCTCCAGGCCTCCAGGGGGCGATGCAGTGCGCCCCCGCCCTCTTCAACAAGAAACACTTCACTTACATCTGTTCCATTGTAACTTGTTCTGAGATGCATTTTTATATAATTCCACCTTTTCACAAACAACATTATTGTATTGTCTTAATGTCAATTAATTCAGTTTCTGTTTTGTTCTTTTATGAAAACATGAAGTCAGTGAATGTATCCTGATGTGTTCCTGTTCAGAATAAAACCTTCAGGCGTTTATATTGATAAATGATCCTTTCATTTCATTATTTAATTCAAAAGGAAAAATGTTTATTTTCTTGGCTGAATCTGCTCTATAGTCAATCAATCAATCAATCAACCGATAAACCAATCGATCAATCAGTTCCTCACCAGTGATTCCAGTTCGGAGGGTTCACAGGTGAACAGGTGAGTGTTGACTCCCAGTGTGGTGAACACGGCTTCATCGCTGGGACGAAACACGGCTTTCTCTGAACACGCAGAAACATTTATCAATGATTCATTAAATAAATGTTATGTGCATATGTGAGACGTTAATAAAAAACAATATACAATACAATATATAAAAATTTGTTATCATTTGTTTTGCTTCTACTTTGCCCTCACTGTTGCTCTAACGTCGAGGAAATACATCACTTCCTGCAGGTGTTTCACATTAAAAGCCTGTGGAATTATTATGGTGGAATTATTCCCTTTGAGCTGTTGTATTGACACTGAATAAAAACAACAGTGTTCATGTTTTTGTACTGATGCAGTCAATGTTGTAGAATTGGAGATTATACTGACTTTATCCAGACAACAGGTAAACATGGAGATTTCAGGTCTCTATCAACAGCCAATTAAAACACACACTGTACTAACATATGATCAAATGCATTTAGAAACATGGCTGAACACTTTGAGGGACATGCTGCATCTGTTTAAGTTTTTTGACCAATATTTTGATTTAAACTGTTATTTTCAATAAAACTCTGTGTACGTCTATACAGAGTTAAAAACATATCCTAATATAACTTATCCTTTAGTTTTATGTGTTATATTTAAAAGTGGAACTCTGTCAAAATCACAATTTAAATATAAAAACAGATCAAATCCAATCAAACACATCAAGACAACATGTCCACAGACTGATTAAGGTCACGTTAACGGCTCTGTGTCCTGACCTCCGGCTGATGTGACGGCCACCAGTATGAGGTTCCCAGGCAGAACTGGTTGGTCTTCACTGTACTGGAGCTTCTCTCGGACCAGAGCCAGAATCTCTCCGACCCGACAGGACAGACGACTCCTGATGGTGACGTAGGAATGATCCGGAGTGTAGACCCGGCAGAAGACTGGAGACAGACAAACAGATGTTGCTTTGAAAAGTTGGAATGTTTTACATAGAAGTCAATGTTCTGGGATATTCTGACCCCTGGTGACCGTCTGTGGAACTGCACCTTAAAGGAACTGTCAAACTTTATTAAAAATCTTTTTACGGACAAGAAGACGGATATCAGTTTCATCTCTGAGTGTCCAGTGCAGAGGTGAGTCCAGGTTAGCCTAGCTTAGCACCAGAACACCAAAAACAGTTAGTCTACATTTCTACACTGTGAGGACATGTCTACACTGTGAGGACATATCTACACTGTGAAGACATGTCTACACCGTGAGGACATGTCTACACTGTGAGGACATATCTACGCTGTGAGGACATGTCTACAATGTGAGGACATGTCTACACTGTGAAGACATGTCTACACCGTGAGGACATGTCTACACCGTGAGGACATGTCTACACCGTGAGGACATGTCTACACTGTGAGGACATATCTACACTGTGAGGACATGTCTACACTGTAAGGACATATCTACACTGTAAGGACATATCTACACTGTGAGGACATGTCTACACTGTGAGGACATGTCTACACTGTGAGGACATGTCTACACTGTGAGGACATTTGGCTGATCCCCAGAAATTGAAAGCGCTGATTTGGTTTTAAGGTTCAGGTCAGGTTTAGGGTTAGGGCTGAGGGAATGCAATATGTCAATGAATGTCCTCACAACTATAGTGAAGGCAATGTGTGTGTGTGTGTGTCCTGGGTGTGTCAGGCAGTTTGTGATTTGTATATCCTGACCACAGACTGCAGGTGTGTTTGCATTTCAACTGTGTATACAGCTTTATAGATTAGACAGTGTAGTCTAGCTTTTGTATTTCTGTCCCTGCACGTGTGTGTGTGTGTGTGTATGTGTGTGTGTGTGTGTGTGTGTGTGTGTGTGTGTGTCATACTCTCATCGGAGCCTCTGAAGGCCTCTCTGGGCTGCAGACAGGCGTCAATGCGTCTGAAGTGTCTGAACAGAGGGCGAACCTGCTTCTTCCTACTCTCCTTCTCCTCTTCAGAGCTGACCACACACACATACAGAAGAATTAAAACAGATTTTCTGGTTGCTTGACTCCACACAATGAAAACTCAATTTAAATGATTAAATAACATAAATTATTTTTATTATTATTATTATTATTAATATTGTTAGTGGTAGGTACATTGTACACAGTATAATTATTATAATTCTATACAATAAGAATAAGAATAACAGTGAGGTAAACACTGTGAGGACATGAGAACATGTCTACGTAGTGAGGACATGTCTACATTGTGAGGACATGTCTACACTGTGAGGACATGTCTACACTGTGAGGACATGTCTACATTGTGAGGACATGTCTACACTGAGGACATGTCTACACTATAAGGACATATTTACATTGTGAGGATATGTCTACCTGGTGAGGACATGTGTACATAGTGAGGACATGTCTACATTGTGAAGACATGTCTACACTGTGAGGACTTATCTACATTGTGAGGACATGTGTACACTGTGAGGACTTATCTACATTGTGAGGACTTATCTACATTGTGAGGACATGTCTACATTGTGAGGACATGTCTACACAATGAGGACTTATCTACACTGTGAGGACATGTCTACACTGTGAGGACTTATCTACATTGTGAGGACTTATCTACATTGTGAGGACTTATCTACATTGTGAGGACATGTCTACATTGTGAGGACTTATCTACATTGTGAGGACTTATCTACATTGTGAGGACATGTCTACATTGTGAGGACTTATCTACATTGTGAGGACATGTCTACATTGTGAGGACTTATCTACATTGTAAGGACTTATCTACATTGTGAGGACATGTCTACATTGTGAGGACTTATCTACATTGTAAGGACTTATCTACATTGTGAGGACATGTCTACATTGTGAGGACTTATCTACATTGTGAGAACATGTCTACATTGTGAGGTCATGGCTTCACTGTGAGGACTTATCTACATTGTGAGGACTTATCTACATTGTGAGGACATGTCTAATAAGGATTCAGTATGGGGAGTGTGTGCATGTGTGTGTCTGTGTATTATTGTGTGTATTAATTGTGTTGTTGTGTTATTGTCTCACGGGCAGTGTAAGATCTCAGTCCATCTCTGCAGTTTGAGGACGTCCTCCACCAGCTCAGGAAACCGGCTCAACTCCTGGACTGCACACAGGTACAGTTCCTACAAACACACACACACACACACACACACACACACACACACACACGTAGAACACAATAAATACATGTGATTGTAAAAGTTCCCGAGGTGTGTCTTCAGAGCTGAGTCACTTCTGCTGCCGCGACAACCACCGATCACCCTGGCAACCAGACACCAAAAACAACAGTTCACACCCTGCAAGTGTTATCATCTGTGTATGTATTATTATTATGGTTATTATAGAGCATATATATATGTGTGTGTGTGTGTGTGTGTGTGTGTCAGAGCTGAGGAGACAGTAAAAAGGAAATTCCACTGTTTTTCTTTCACTTTCTGGCTGGTTTCCGTCATGATCCTGTTCACTCAGATGTGTGTGTGTGTGTGTGTGTGTGTGTGTGTGAGAGTGTGTTACCTTTGGGAAGCTGTTGCTGCGCTCCCCCTCCTCCTGCAGCAGCTCTCTGTAGGTGTCCAGGTATCTAAACGCCACGTTCAGCACCGCCTGCTTCCTCTCTGCTGCGTCCAGCCCTCCTTCTGTTTCTCCCTCCATCTCTCCTCCTCTTCCTCCATCTCTCCTCTCAGCCTCCCCCTCCCTGCCTCCCCTCTCTCCCTCCCTCCCCTCCATCTCCAGACTGAATCTGAGAAAGTTGGAGTTAAGGAGATATTTGTTGTTTTGTCCTCACTCACTGAAAGAGGTGTTTCCCCTACATGTATGAAAATCTGTTCACACATGAAACATACCAAGACTTACAAAAACGCCTCTTGCACCCAGAGTCTAAACTCAACGGGAAGTCAGCCATTTTGAATTTAATTTACAATATTGGCACTGTTTCTGCAACTTAAGGGTCACGTACTTGAACAAACTCCTCCTACAGAATCGATCAGATCCTCATCATATTCAGTCAGTTGCATCTTAAGACATGTACGATGTTAATTTGCAAAACTTTTTAGTTTTCGTTGAACGATGCGCCCGTGGCGGCACGGCAAACTTCAATGATTCGTCATGAAAATCTTTATAACTCCAGGACACATTGTTCAAACTGACTGAGTCCCGGCCTGAACACATCTACATGACAATATTCATGTTTCATGCTTATTGGTGCAGTTTTCCAATCAGCCAATCATGAGTACGATCATGAGTATTGTTTTTCTAACGGCTCCTTCAATTCACAAACTGGTTTCACAGTCTCCAGACCTGGATCCAGTGGTAGAAACAGGAGATTGATGTGATGCATCATGGGAACATGGAGTCTCAGAGGAACATTTCAACATCTGGAGGATCCATGAAAAACGGAGTCTGGATTTTTTATCTTTAAAGTCTGATTTATAAATTCATCTGAGATCAGCCTGGTTTGAATGTTTCAGCCTCAGAGCAGCAGAGTCAGAGACGCCGCCATGATGACCCACATATCTCACACACACACACACACACACACACACACACACACATACACACACACACACACACACACACACACACACACACCATCCTTTTCTTCCTGACGCAGTGATGGATGCAGTTCCTGCCGCGGCCTGATGAGGGCGCCAGGATTAAAAATGAAGAAACGGTTTTCCTTGGACTCTGCAGGGATGAAGCTGGATGAAGATCAGTGATGAGTCTCAGTAAAAAATACTCACTGCTGATGCAAAACAAAAGAAAATGCAGCTATTTTGATGACTGCTGCAAAAACACAAAATATTTCCTGTTCTTTTCAGATTTTAAGGCATTTTAAAGACGTAATTTAAGCTGTGGACTTTGTGTTGCGCTTTAATTTATGAAGTAAATCAAATTGTATTTGTGTTATCTGATGTTTTCACTCATACTCTGTGCTGTGCTGTGCGAATTATTGTGACGTCTGTGTTTATTATCATTTTACCGTTCTGCTCCATTAAATGATCTATTCTCAGTTCCTGGTTTTAATGCAGCCACACATGTGCAGACAAGTGTCACTGGATCATTTGGATCCTGAAGGTTCTGTCTCTGTTCTGTTTGCTCACGATGGATCGACTGACTTATGACTCTTAGAAACAGACACAACCTGCCATTGATGTTAAAGATCAGAATTTACAACATAACATCTGTAATAACATTGTTACATTGAGGATTTTAGCAAATTAAATTTGTCCAATCAGACAAAATGTGAACGTTTTCATTCCTCCTTCTTTAAAGGAAGAGATGAAGAGGAGGAGAGGTGATCTCCACATAAACCAGCAGAGGAAGATGAAGACGAGCATGTCTCTCTCCCGCCCCCATCCCTCTCTGCTCTACTTCCTCCTCCCTCCAGCTCTCAGCTCTTTATCTCTCTCTCCGTGTGGGTGAGTATGAGAGTGGACGACCATCACTGTCACTGCAGAGGAAAAGAAAACACAGATCCATTTGCATCTTTAATGACGCAGCAGAACGAACTGTGATGGAGTCAGCTGTTGTTAACCTGTATTGATCTGAAGTGGGTTTGGTTTAGTATTGGTGGTGTATGTGTGACATGTTGTCACACCTGTCCACAGATCATAGTCTTCTCTGATTCACTGGCTTTAATCAAACCACACACAGTTGTAATGAACAGTGTATTCGCGTCACTGCAGCCACAGCGTTTGTTGTTTGTTGATGCTCAGACTAAATATTTCACTGGAAACTTCTGCTCTGACAAAACCAACAGGTTTAGTCCTGCTAACGCCCCCTACAGGCTGCACAGTTCACTACAACCACTACATGAAAACACGACGCCCATTACACCCTCCACTGTTTCCACCGGACAGGCAGAGTGGTGTTTCCACCCACGGGAGGGACCTTCCCTTTCCTTCCTCTGGACCACAGTGTTAAACAGACGGAGGGACAGACGGGAGAAGGTGGGGCGAAGACATGAAGCCACAGCAACTGAGACAGTGTCTCAGAAAAGACAAACCTGCAGCTACAAGACCAAACGAACCGAACTGTGTTTCCTGGCAGATAAACTGAGGCCGACTCACAGTCACAGAGGAAGAGACATTAAATAAAATGAAGCCGTCAATAACCAGAGAGACGCTGAGACTCGGGACAGACAGACGATCCCAGGACACGTGGACATATCTGGACGTCCATGCCTCAACTCCATTACACAGTTATGCACACATGCACATACACAACACAGCACTGTGAGCACATTCTATCAAGGTAATTATGCATGTGAAGGTGTGTGTGTGTGTGTGTGTGTGTGTGTGTGTGTGTGTGAAGGATACTGCTGCAGCAGAACTTGCTGGAACCTGTCGGCCGTCAGGAAGATGGGATGTGTCAACATGAAGTCATCCAGCAGGGTTTCTACACAGACACAAACAGAGAGAGACAGAGATCAGTTGTACAGACTGAACGTGACCTGGAACATACCGTCCATCACCTGTCAGGTACACACTGACAAATAAAAGCCTGTCTCAAATTCAAAACAAAAAACAGTATAATACATATAATGCCTCACATGACACCTTCAGTGTAATGACCACCAGTTCCACCAGTTCCACCAGTTCAACAACAGAGTCATAGCAGATAAACATTTCACATTAAACACCTAAAAACAAACTTTTATCTTCTGGAAGCTTTTAATGTGAAACACCTTGGCAGGAAACGTTGAATGTCAGTGAGTGAAGAGCGGCAAAGTAGAAGTGACTGGATGAAGATCGTCAGAAAATAGTTTAAAATGTCTTTTACAGTTTCTGACCAACAACTTAAAGATTTTTGATATTTGTTCTTGATAAAAAACTAAAAATGATTCATTTTGTTTCAAAATTGTTGATTAATTTTCTGTCAGTAATCGATTAATTGACTAATCATTCCTTTACCTTCCCTTCACAGTACTCTCTGTTAACCAGGGGTAGATCGGGAGAACAGCGGGGCAGGATCGGGAGAACAGAGGGACAGGATCGGGAGAACAGAGGGGTAGGATCGGGCATCAGAAGGTGAACCTGTAGGGTTGAGTGGATACACTAAGACCTTATTGAGGGGCGTTGAGTTCGTACACATTATTTCACGCCCTTCATCTCTACAGCCCAAGGTGACGCATGAAAAATGTCTTTTCGTGTCTGACCGACAGTCCAAACCAAAAAGAGACGTTCACCTGAAATGTCACTTAGCTTGACACAAACTCAGTCAACTGAAGATACAGAGGAGGACACAGAGCTGCAGACAAACACACACCAATACATGCAAATCATCAATATATACAACAATATATGGCTGCACACACTGAATATCACCAACATACTGAGATCTCTGCTGCTGCTTTGGGTCTGTTTTATGTGTTTAGCCTAGCTTAGCACAAAGNAGGAGAACAGAGGGTAAGATCAGGAGAACAGAGGGGTAGGATCGGGCATCAGAAGGTGAACCTGTAGGGTTGAGTGGATACACTAAGACCTTATTGAGGGGCGTTGAGTTCGTACACATTATTTCACGCCCTTCATCTCTACAGCCCAAGGTGACGCATGAAAAATGTCTTTTCGTGTCTGACCGACAGTCCAAACCAAAAAGAGACGTTCACCTGAAATGTCACTTAGCTTGACACAAACTCAGTCAACTGAAGATACAGAGGAGGACACAGAGCTGCAGACAAACACACACCAATACATGCAAATCATCAATATATACAACAATATATGGCTGCACACACTGAATATCACCAACATACTGAGATCTCTGCTGCTGCTTTGGGTCTGTTTTATGTGTTTAGCCTAGCTTAGCACAAAGACTGGAAGCAGGGGGAAACTGCTAGCAACTGCTAACTCCAGCACTACAAATATGTGAGTGCTAACATATCAGAGTGAAGCCAGTTTAAGACCCGGTCAAAGAGCGTCACAGAGATATTTCACAGACATTAAGATGATCTTTAACAAGCGGGTAAATAACTGTACAAATAACAGAAAAGATTACACTAGAAACACTCCTCTCTCTCTCTGTGTCTCACACACACACACACACACACACACACACACACACACACACACTAAATGTAGGCCATGAAGACATATTTAGAACTGAAGCTTTTACAAAACAAAGACAGAAGAGAAGTCAGATTGATCTGTTGCAGAAAGCTTCAGACGCTGGTTGTTGGTTCAGCAGCTCTGAGATAAAAACAGTAACACACACGATGACGAGCTGCTGCTGCTGCTGCTGCTGCTGCTGCAGTGAACGGCTGTAATTTAAGATGCTGAACCAGCACGACTCAGACAAAACCTGTGGTCACATTTACTAAAATATACTGCTCTGTGTGTGTGTGTGTGTGTGTGTGTGTGAGATGCATGCTGCAGTGGGCGTGCCCTGTCGGGGTCCGCCTCTCTGCAGACGGTTACCATAGAGACGCCACGTCGTCGACAGTGAGACGATGAGGAGGCAAACGTGTGAAAAGAAGAAATACAGAAGAAAATAGAGAAGAGATCTGAACGTTGTTTGTGTGTGTGTGTGTGTGTGTGTGTGTGTGTGTGTGTGTGTGTGTGTGCTGATCGATTGACTACAGCTATATACTGTATTTTATTGATGGGATTCTGAAGAGAGTGTCAGTGTTTCACTGTCTCTGACAACAACACAACTTTGTTCAGAAACAACCATATTGTTTGTATTCACACAGGGAGGGGGGGGGGGGTCACATGGAGCTACTACTAGGATGGTGTGAAGATGGAGGAAGAACAGAGAGAGAAAGAGTGTGAATGTGGGAGGAGGAGAGAGACTGAATCAAAACGGGATGTAAAGAAATGTCTACGAGAGAGAGAGAGACAGAGAGAGACAGAGAGAGAGAGAGAGACAGAGAGAGACAGAGAGAGAGACAGAGAGAGAGAGAGACAGAGAGAGACAGACAGACAGAGAGATAGACAGACAGAGAGACAGAGAGAGAGACAGAGAGAGAGAGAGACAGAGAGAGAGACAGAGAGAGAGACAGAGAGAGAGACAGACAGACAGAGAGACAGAGAGAGAGACAGAGAGAGACAGACAGACAGAGAGAGACAGAGAGAGAGAGAGACAGACAGAGAGAGAGAGAGACAGACAGAGAGAGAGACAGAGAGAGAGACAGAGAGAGAATATAAATCTATATTTATATAAACATATAGATTTTTATATAGTTGTTTTAATAAACCATGTATACATTAAATATATAGCTTTAATATATATGATCATCTTATATCATAAAAATTCATCACATTTTTAATAAATGTTCATATTCATTCATATATGATATAAACTTATATCTTCATATTTACATGTCAGTGATCATGACTCACAGACAGAGACTCAGTCTGTTCAGGTTTTACTTTGCTGCCATGTGGAAAACAGCAAAGTATTATTATTATTATTATTATTATTATTATTATTGTTGTTGTTGTTATTATTATTATTATTATTATATGTGACAATAATAAATCCCCGTCTAGTGAACATATATGGTGACATCACTCTGATATAGGGGCATGTATGTCATATATTACATGTCTGTGTGGAGGTGGAATCAGGACATGTAGCAGTGTGAACAGAGCCGACATGTGAAGGTTAAAGGTCAACACTTAATTAAAGCTGCTTCTTTGTCAGCAGCAGAAATCAGCCTCAGACTGAAGCCTCTAATTTCACTGTTTGTTCCTCCCACCTCCTCTGCTGCTCCCTCCCTCTCTGTCTCTCTCTCACTCTCACTCCCTCCCTCCCTCTCTGTCTCTCTCTCTCTCTCCCTCCCTCTCTCTCCCTCCCTCCCTCTCTCTCCCTCCCTCCCTCCCTCCCTCTCCCTCTCCCTCTCTCTCTCCCTCTTCCTCC